TAGATAAACCAACCGACTTTGCCTCCGCCAAACACCGGACCTATATCAACTTTTCTAAAGCTGATTGGAAAGGTTACGCGGAGTTTACCGAAAACACCTTCACAGCGCTCCCCACACCAACCGACGTCCATCTCGGTGAACGTAAGTTCCGCAGGGCTGTCACTGCTGCTGCAGCTCGCTTCATACCGGCAGGATGTATATCGGACCCACTTCCAAACTTCCCTGCCGTAGCGGCTGTTCTAGCCGATGAGCGTGATAGCCTTCGTCAGGCCGATCCCGGAGATCCCCGTATCAGGGATCTCAACGCGGAGATTCGGCAACTAGTAAACGTACATAAGCGGAAGAAGTGGGAGGAGCATCTGAAGACCTGTAATTTCACCTCTGGTGTGAGCAAGCTTTGGTCAACCGTGAGTTCACTGTCTAATCCGACGAAGCACGACGACAGAGTCGAAATTTCCTTCGGCGACCATGCCTCGTCGGACCCGGAGCGATGTGCGAGCTATTTTAGCCGGCAGTTCATACTGCATCCTCCGGTGGACAAAGCCAAGCGTCGAGTGACCAGAAGGCTGCACAAACTGCCAACAACCTGTGCCCCCCTTGCTTTCACTTGCGGTGAAGTTCAGGTGGCCATCGGGAAGGCGAAAGCCTCCAAAGCCATGGGTCCCGAGGGAATATGCATGCTGATGCTGAAAAATTTGGGTCCTGCGGGGGTAGCGTACCTAACGGAGGTCCTCAACTTGTCAATGGCCACTCTCATCATCCCAGACATCTGGAAGGTGGGGAGAGTGGTTCCACTGCTCAAACCGGGGAAACCTGCCAACATAGGAGGCCTTGCTACTCCCGTACTTCACAAACCACCTGACCCCAGCGAAGCATCAGCATGGTTTCCGTAAAGTGCCCATACAACAACAGCACTTAACGCCATAAACACTCAGATAACTCGTGGCCTTAACCGAAACCGTCCCTGTGGGAGAACGATTCTAGTAGCGTTGGACTTGTCAAAGGCGATTGACACCGTCTGCCATTCCAAGCTACTAGAAGATATAGAGGCCTCCTCTCTCCCACAGAGGCTCAAACGGTGGTCGGCAAATTATCTGAGTGGTCGACATTCGTCGGTAATGTTTAGAGACAAAACGAGCAAACAGCGAAAAATAAAACAGGGGGTTCCTCAGGGTGGTGTCTTTTCCCCGCTACTGTTTAACTTTTACATTTCAAAGCTCCCTCAACCACCAGAGGGAGTCTCCATTGTCTCTTATGCCGACGATTGCTCGATCATGGCGACTGGGAATGGAATTGATGACCTGTGTTCGAAAGTAAACGGGTATCTCTCCGAACTTTCTCGCTTCTTCACTGCAAAGTGTCTAGCCCGCTCCCCTACGAAATCCTCCGCGACCCTGTTCACAACCTGGACGAAGCAGGTCAGGCTACCGCTGGGGATTCATGTCGATGACACACCAATTCCGACGATGAATAACCCCAAAATACTCGGAGTAACATTCGACAGCCTGCTCTCCTTCTCTGCGCACTCAACCGCTATTGTCAATAAAGTACAGAGCCGCAACAAGGTCCTCAAGTCGCTAGCCGGCAGTACTTGGGGCAAAGACAAAGAAACGTTGCTGGCAACATACAAGGCAATAGGCCGGCCGGTTTTGAACTACGCAGCGCCAGTGTGGTCGCCAGGGACTAGTAGAACGCAGTGGACGAAGCTACAGACTGTACAGAACACCGCACTCAGGACAGCGACAGGATGCCTCCTGATGTCGCCTGAACACCACCTACAGAAGTGGCCACCCAAGCAGACAGCTGCTTGTAGAGGAGCCCTCGCCTAGGCACGTTAGGAGGCATCTATATGAACTGACGGACGAAGTCCAGAGGTTCATTAAGCAACCTCTGGACCCGACAGCTTACCGACAGGCCCTGAACGGCATTCACAGGGACTCAGTCTCGAGTTATGTAGACTCTAGACCTGTGAATGCCGTTCTAGGCATACCACCCCCGGACATAGACGAGACGGAGCTTCATCTGCCTCGGGAGACACGCACAACACTTGCACAACTTCGCTCCGGCTACTGCAGCAGGTTGAACTCCTACCTGAGTAGGTTGAATGAGGATGTGCCGAATGAGTGTCCGGCATGCGGAGAGACCCCACATGACTCGAAACATGTCTTCGCATGCCCGGAAAACCCGACAACCCTAACGGCCTTGTCCCTGTGGACAAACCCCACAGAAGCTGCACGCTTCCTAGGGTTGCCGTTAGTGGAACTTGACGACAACGACTGAGATACCAACCGTCCTGGGTGGGGTTGTTGTAGCCGCTACAACAACAACAACAACAACCGGCGCATTCACAGGGCCCTGTGCTTTAACACCAATGCTCCGTCGATGGCGTATACAAACATACTAAGCTCCCTCTGCAGAAGTTGTCGGGATGAGGAAGATGAAACTATTCACCACTTTCTATGCCAATGTCCAGCTCTCCAGACAAGGCGTCTCAAGTATTTGGGAGCACGCGTTTTTAATGGTTTGGTGGGGATGACGCGAGTTGAAAATATCGGAGGTTCACAGGTTCATCCGGGATATAAAATGGTTTAACAGACACTATTCCGCCAATATGGAATAACTTCGGTTAAAACGACAACAACAGACAAGTCAGACTCCGAGTGGTAGTAAATACGAGTCATTCGTATGTGCCTTCCTAACCTAACCTAAAGTAAATCTTTGTGTATCTTTAAGCATTCAAAATTAAAGGTTGTGACACTAGACACTATTCCGCAGATAATGGATTACGATTTTAACGAGATGTGTCTTTGAAACATTTGGAATTAGTGGTGAGAAAACTATGGCGCTACGGTCTATTTTACAAATTTTTCCCATATTTTTGTAAAAAACAATACCCCTTGACTATCGAGGGGTCTAAGCGGGTCACTTTTTTTTTGCCGTTTTATTAAAAAAAAAATTATGAAGTTGTTTAATATTCGCATGAAAGAAAAAAATACCTCTTAGTTATGAATAAATTATGAGCAAATCTCACGAGTTGTTACATTGTTTGAAAAAAAACTTGTATTTGGACGAAAATGGTGGCACACTTTCTTAGACAATGCATTATCTTGTGTTCTGCGTTAACAAGATTCCATCGCGAAATTTCTTTACATGAAAACCCAAAAAGGTTATAACATGATACAAAACAAGTAATTTTTAAGCAAAAAACAAAACCCGACTTCAATTCTCATATAAAAATTTAAGATAACCCCCTGTGAGGTAACACCTATCCTTTAAAAAAAGAATTATAGAAATCGGTTAACGTGGTCCAAAGTTATGCGGTAACATACATAAAAAAAATATTCCGATGATTGATAACCTTCTCTTTTTTGTGAAGTTGGTTAAAAAGTAAAAATAACTCGTGCTCATATACCCGTAGTTGGGTGTGTAACGTATACGCCCCGTAGCACCATACACATTCAGCTACCACGTTTATACGCACGCCTGCGAACCGCCTAAACTTAAAAGTCGTATAATTTAAAAGTAATTAAATAAAGTTATTAATAAACAAGTAAGAAAGTCTAGTCGAACATTAAATACCCGGCGCAAGTATTAAATATATTTCCTTTTTCGTTGTTGTTGTTTCCGACAGGGTGGGTGTATGATGTATTTTGGAACGAATTTCCGTCATCCCTTGTCAAATTTGGTTTGGAGACAAACCGGTTTCGGGGTTGTGCCATCTTCAGTGTCGTTTTTCGTTCGTTTGTCTCCAAACCAAATTTGACAAGGGATGACGGAAATCGTTCCAAAATACATATTAGATATATGTTTTCCACCTTTCCGAAAACTACCACTACATTGTAAGCCGGGGTGCTTTTACTCCTATTTTAAACATCTTCGATAGAACGTTCATTTTCCAAAATTCCAAACAATGTTACTTCTTTTCAAGGGATTGTTTTTAGTATCAATTTTGAGTAAATAAGCGTCCTTAAATTTCGAAATATTGAAGCTTCAAGCATTTCTGAAATTTACCGTTATATGAAAAGCGGCCGTAATTTTAGTCCGACTTCAATAATTTTCAACGTTTTGCTTTTATGTGGAAAGCACAATATCCATACCGAGTTTGATACAAATTGGTACGACGGTTACCGAGATACATATATGTGATCATAAGTGGGCGGTGCCACGCCCATTTTCCAAAATTATACCATAAAGGTATTTCTTGGCAAATTGCTGCAAGCATCAATTTTGAATAAATTAGCTTTAATATTTACTGATTTATCGAGTTTTTCGTATTTCTCTAAATTGCCGTTATATGGGATGTGGGCGTGGTTATTGTCCGATTTTAAAAATTTTCGGCTGTTTGGTATGCTGTACCAAGGCCATGTTTGGAAGAAATTGGTGCAGCGGCTACCAAGATATACACATGTAACCATAAGTGGGCGTGGCTACGCCCATTTTCTAAAAATTTATAATCTTATTTTTCGTCTAAAAATTATTGTAAATATCAATTTTGAGTGAATAATCTTCAGTAGTTACTAAAATAACGCAGTTTTCGTATTTCAGAAAATTACCGTTATATGGGAGGTAGGCGTGGTTATTGTCCGATTTTGCCCATTTTCAATACCATCCGTCCTACGCCCGAAAGAAGTGCACGTACCAAGTTTCGTTAAGATATCTTAATTTTTACTCGAGTTATCGTGTGCACAGACGGACGGACGGGCGGACGGACGGATAGACAGTCACCGCTTAATCGATTTCTCTTTTCATTCTGATCATTTATGTATACATTTGTCTATATCTATCTCGATTCGTTTTGCCTGTTACAAACAACCGTTATGTGAATAAAGTTATAATACCCTTGTGCACAAGTGCGCTCGGGTATAAAAAAAAAAACAATTAAGATTTTTTCGAGTGGCAATGAAAATACATATTAGTAATTTGGGTAATTTTAATAAATTTAATTTTTAATAAATCAACGTTTTAAGGCTAAAATTCTTTAAACACTTGAATTATTTCTTATTGCAATTGTTTCTGGAACTCCATTGATTGAAATATACATATGTATCAATGCTTTAGCGTTTTTTTTTATTCAGGCGAGAGAAAGAAGTGGCACTCGTGAGATTTTCTCTTATACGTTGCCAATTTAGAAAAAAATACATATTACCAAATTATACTAATTTCAATTGATAACATGAAAAGTCTGAGTTTCTTCATTTGCGTGCTGTTCCTTTGCAGGAACAAAATTGTAAATATCTTTTTGTTTCCTCTCTCTTAATTGAATTCTCCCTCATTTAATGCCTAGTGCAAATCCGGCAGAATGTTTGCTGACTACAATATGGCTTTCTATAAAAAAACCAAGATACATTTCCTATATTTTACTGTATTATCTAAATATAGTAGCAAGAAAAAAACTGATGTTAAAACATTTAAAAAAAAATATTTTAGGCCAGGAAAACGGCAATTACACCATAGTTAACGGGCGAAATTAAAAGTTACAAATATTCAGTTTTTATTCAATCAAGTCAATCTGTTTAAAAAATAATAATCTATAAAAAACTAGTTTATAGCTAAAAAGCATAAAGTTTAGCTCGTTACTTAAGTTGGAATTTTCAAACAAACAATATGTATGTATGTATTTATATATCTCTTGTCCCTTAAGTTCGTCATAGTGCATTAGTTGGGATCCATTAGGCGCGCACGTATTAGCCAACGTAAATCCGCATGCGAACTCTCGCCGGGAATTTGTTCGCGGAAATGATTCCATTCGCTCTGGTAGTAGTGATATAAGGCGACCGGATCTGTGCTCAGCGGACGGCGGCGGCGTGTAGTGGTGCAATGTCGTGGTACTGCAAATGGAAGAATTACAAGAACTGAAGGTGAAGCAAAGAATAGTTTTTTTTTTCTACATAATTCTAGGGAAATCTTTTATTTGCTTACTTATAACTCCCACAGATCGATCTGCAGCAGAGCTGCCAGCACTCGGGCTTCGTGCTGTTGCACCGCGTTCGTGATTTGGATGACTAGTGCGTGCGCGTCCATGACTTGCGTCTCTTGCCACCGCGGCTTGTGCACGTTGCGAATTGCCACCATCTCTTGCCGTTGCGCCGATGGCTGCCTTGCTTCTTCCTGTTCTGACCTCATTTGAGCCTGTTTCCGGCTGAACTCTTTTCAGACTACGCTCTCTAACTAAAGCTCTTGCTTGCGATACGCTTGTCCTACCACGTTCTGCTGCTTTGTGTTGTGGTCCACGTGATTCTGGGCACTCACCAAAAGGTATGCGATTATCTGATTGCCAAGCTTGCTCACGGCATAAATTCTCCAAATTGCGCGAATTTCTAGATGGCCCATAGTGCGGTGGTTTATATTGTTGGGATTGATGATTTTTGTTGCTGCTTCGCAACATGCCACCATCCTCTGTGGTGGCTCCAGAGCGCGTATTAGAATAACTGTGAGCAGTTTGAGTTTGTGGCCCTTTTTTCGTTATTGCTGCTCTGGAATCAGCTTGTTGGTGCTGGCCTAATTGGTTTAGTGGGCGCAGCACATGTTGATCATGATTACGTGTATAGTTTTCCTTTACAACTCGTTCGCAACGTAGATTTTCCTTTCCAACTTTGGCGCGAAAACTGGCAGTTGTGCGCTTGAAGAGGTTCTCAAAATAGTTGTCTTGATTAATGTTAATGCCAAGCGTTGCCTCATATTTGATTAGTTTGCGTAGATCTATGAGGGAGGATTAAAATAGACATAAAAATTTAAGATAATCGAATTGAAGAAATATTTATTTTAAATTAAAAGAAACGCTTTAATTTTGAGTTTTAAATTTTACCTGTATTAAATAGAGGAAGCGGAATACAGCATAGTTAAGTTACATACATAAGCAGGGCCGAAGACAATAAGCAAGAAAAGAGCAATTTTAAGCGCTTAGAACAGCACTAAAACATGAGTAAATATGCTTGCAAATATGCTCGAAAAAGAAAAAAAAAATCAAGTATTCAATTTATTTCAAGGATTAAAAAATTACAATGGACAATGAAGTGTTGCTCGAAATTCTCAAATAATAGAGATCTGAAGTGGTCGTTTTAATTTTTTTTTTAATATTCGTTATTCTCAATTTGACATAAATTATTTTTACTCTCTTCAATAACGCCCAATGCCCTTCCGTAGAGACAAACCTTTGGTTTAAACTATTTGTATCCAAGCAGAAATGCAATTGGAGTTACGAGTTAATAAAAACTTGTCCATAGGACCTACATAATTATTTTTTCACTTTTAGTACATTATCTAAATTATTTCTTATCTTTCTTTTCAACAAAATCGTTTAACTTAAATTATTATTTTTACTTATTTTATTTTAAAATATTTTTGTTATAATGCTGACTACACACGAGGCAACCGTTGAAGCAACGTGTTGAATCAACATGTTTTTCTTTTTCAATACACACGAGGCAACCGTAGAAGCGTATATTGCGGATAAAGCAGATGTAGACGTAGAATAAAATAAACGTTTACCATAACCTCGGCTTAAGGCAAATAGACTAAGCTTTGAAGAAAATTACCACTATTGAGACAAAGAGTGGTCTAATGTGGTGATATCCGGTGAAAACACATTTAAGTCGGATGGGCCGGATGGTTGTCACAAGTAGGTGGTACACTGAAGGTTTTGGTACACGTTTATTGCATTCTAAATCTACATCCGCTTTAAATATTTGCTCCACACGTCTTGTCGACGGATTTTAAATTTAGGACAATTTGAAAAATGCATAATTTTTGGAATATCGCTTGGTGATAAAGTAAATTTTCTAGCAGTACTTCGCTTCACTCCATAATTTTCTCGAAATTCTAAGTAATTTATAATTACCGTTTTACCTCCTCGTAGTGTCACTTCCTTCTATCAGCAGAAAAAAACATGACTCTTGCATCTATTTCAATCAATGGAGTTCCAGAAAAAAAATGCAATAAAAAATAAATCAAATATTTGAGTAATTTTAGCCTTAAAACGTTTATTTAGGCGAAAAAATACCGAAATTACAAGGTTTCACATGCAAATGGATTTTAACAATTCAGAATTTTTGTGAGAAAAAATTCAAAATATTTGACATTTTCGAGACCAAATAATTTGAAAATAAATCAAATCAGCTGCTCTACTGATACTACCTGTTCAATGTACCTTGGTTATAACTTTGGGAAGTTTTCAAATAAAGTGTTGGTATCAAATACAGCATATCTGTTAAGTTTCAAGAGTATGCCACCAAATTAAAAAAATGGCGCATGCAGAATATCTGTTGCAGCTATTTTGAAATTTTACGATTGTTTTTTTTTAGGTTTATTAATTTTAGACGAATCTAATGTAATAAAACAATAATCTTCAGATAATTCAGAATAATTCTTCAGATAACAACTTTATTTTCATTGCTTTACTGATTTTCTTCCGAAATAAAGAATCGAATTGTGCACAGTTTATTTAATTTAAAAAAAATCGGCGAAAAATCGGATGAGATCCTTACGAATTCTTTAAAATTTCTCTACAATTCAGAAAACTCTAAAAAATTGGTTTTGCAGGGTAGTATCGCTATAAAACACTTTACTTTTAAAGAAGGTTGCCACCTATTTGAAAAATTTTAATTAAATTAGTTGATGAGATAAATTAAATATTACAATATGGGTATCAAACTAGAGGTTTAAGAAAGTTTACTGCAAAAAAAATGTATTTTTTTACAAGGGATACACCCCGCGTGAAAATTTTAATTTAATTGATTAGATAAATATTACAATATGTGTATCAAATGAAAGGTATTTGCGAAATCTTTGATTTAGAAATATTTTCAACCGAGTTGGGAACTACATATAAAAGCGTTGAAATTAATGGCACTATTGTGTATGGCGACTGATAGCCGATATATGTACTGAAATTCGCATTACGTATGGCTACTGGCTACTAACTGTCGGCTACTGAGTCTAGTAGCTGAATTTTCTGTGGGAAGTGTTAAGGACCGCCAGGTGAAGGGCAATACCTTACCAGCAACTTACACTTCACCCAGCTGTTCTTACCACCTCACTGACGAATCTCCCTTACTTTAACAAAGACGTGGCCGGCTTATGTAAGCAGGAATTTAGAATGCACATTTGGTATCAGACATACTTCTGAGCCGCTTTACAAAGTAAGTTACGTGTAATGCAGAGCAGTCGCTCGGGGTAGTTCGGTGCTTGGAAATAACTTCGGCTGCACGTTATTTTTTAACTGACAACGTAATGTGTCGTCGGAGGTGTTCATTTTACGCTTTACTAGTAGATGACATTGGCCATGATGAGAATTTTCGTACTAAAAACGGAAAGAAAACATAGCTTACCTCGTAAGGTGCTTACCTATTTTCCCAGTGGGAGCTTTATAAAGTAAGATTTTCATACAAAAATTTTATTCATTTTCTGAATTTGGGTGTTAGTTCTTCTTCTTCTTTTTTGGCGCTGTAACCGCCTAAGCGATTTTGGCCGAGTTCAGCAAAGCACGCCAGTCGTTTCTCCTCTCTGCCAACTGACGCCAATTGGAAACGCCAAGTGAAGCCAAGTCCTTCTCCACCTGATCTTTCCATCGCAGTGGGGGCCTCCCTCTTCCTCTGCTACCACCAGCGGGTTCCGAGCTGAATACTTTCAGAGCTGGAGCGTCGGTGTCCATTCGAACGACATGACCAAGCCAGCGGAGCCGCTGTATTTTAATTCGCTGCACTATGTCCATATCGTTGTAAAGCTCATACACCTCATCGTTCCATCGTCTGCGGTACTCGCCGTCGCCAACGCGTAAAGGACCGTAAATCTTCCGCAAAATCTTTCTCTCAAACACCCCAAGAGCCGCCTCATCGGATGTTGTCATTGTCCATGCTTCTGCGCCATATACCAGCACGGGCATGATGAGTGACTTATAGAGCGTGGTTTTCGTACGTCGAGAGAGGACTTTACTCCTGAATTGCCTACTCAGTCCAAAGTAGCACTTGTTGGCAAGAGTGATTCTACGTTGGATTTCAATGCTGACATTATTATGGGTGTTAATGCTGGTTCCCAAGTAAACGAAATTCTCTACTTTCTCGAAATTGTAACTGTCAACAGTGACGTGGGTGCCAAGGCGCGAATGTGCTGACTGTTTGTTTGATGACAGGAGATACTTCGTCTTGTCCTCGTTTACCACCAGACCCATGCGCTTTGCTTCCCTATCCAACTTGGAAAAGGCAGAACAGACTTCGCGGTTTTTGTTACCGATGATGTCGATGTGCAATTGCACGCTCTTGTAGTAAATTGTTCCTGAGCGGTTCAGTTCTGCAGCTCTTATTATCTTCTCCAACATCAGATTAAAGAAGTCACATGAAAGGGAGTCGCCCTGTCTGAAACCCCGTTTTGTGGCGACCGGCTCGGAGAGGTCTTTTCCAAATCTTTCACTGAGCTGGTGGTATTGCTCAACGTCATTTTACACAGCCGTATGAGTTTTGAGGGGATGCCAAATTCAGACATAGCGGCGTATAGGCAACTCCTTTTAGTGCTGTCAAAAGCGGCTTTAAAGTCGACAAATAGGTGGTGAGTGTCGATCCTTTTCTCGCGGGTCTTTTCCAAGATTTGGCGTATTGTGAATACCTGGTCTATGGTGGATTTGCCAGGTCTAAAGCCACACTGATAAGGCCCAATCAGTTCATTGACGGTGGGCTTCAGTCTTTCACACAATACGCTCGATAAGACCTTGTAACCTATGCTTAGAAGGCTGATCCCGCGGTAGTTGGCGCGAATGGCGGGGTCACCTTTCTTGTGGATTGGGCAGAGCACACTTAAATTCCAGTCGTCGGGCATGCGTTCATCTGACCATATTCTGCACAAGAGTTGATGCATGCACCTTATCAACTCCTCGCCGCCGTACTTGAATAGCTCAGCTGGCAGGCTGTCAGCTCCAGCGGCTTTGTTGTTTTTCAGCCGCGTTATTGCTATACGTACCTCGTCATAGTCAGGCGGTGGAACGTCGACTCCGTCATCATCGACTGCGGGCTCGGGTTCTTCTTCTCCACAACTTTCTGTGCTGCTGCCATTTAGTAGGGCGGAAAAGTGTTCCCTCCATAATTTAAGTACGCTCTGGACATCAGTTACTAGGTCGCCATTATAGTTCTTACAGGAGTGCGCCCGGTCTTTAAACCTTCCGTAAGTCGCCTAACTCTCTGGTAAAATTTTCGGGCATTCCTCCTGTCGGCCAGCATTTCAAGCTCTTCGCACTCACGTATTTCTGCCTCTCTCTTCTTGTTGCGGCAAATACGTCTCGCTTCCCTCTTCAGATCCCTATAGCGGTCCCACATAGCGCGCGTTGCGCCCGATCGCAGCGTGGCCGTGTAGGCGGCATCTTTTTTCTCTGCAGCTTCCTGACACTCCTCATCGTACCAGTTGTTCTTTCGGGCTCGCTGAAATCCGACTACTTCTTCGGCGGCGGTACTTAATGAGCGGGAAATGTGGTTCCACTGCTCGCATATGTCGGTTTGTTGAAGAGTGCTCTCTGAGAGCAGGTGTGAGAGTCGAGTAGCGAAAGCGCTGGCTATCTGTTGTGATTGCAGCTTTTCGACGTTAAGCTTTCCTTGCATATTTGGGCGCACATTTTTTGCTGCACAGAGGCGGGTGCGTATCTTGGCTGCAACAAGATAGTGGTCCGAGTCGATGTTTGGGCCTCGGAGTGTGCGTACGTCTAAAACACTGGAAGCGTGCCTTCCGTCTATCACAACATGATCGATTTGGTTTCTCGTTTTTCGATCCGGAGACAGCCAGGTAGCTTGATGGATCTTTTTATGCTTGAACCTAGTACTGCATACTACCATGTTTCGGGCCCCGGCGAAGTCGATCAGCCTCAATCCGTTGTCGGACGTTTCGTCGTGGAGGCTGAATTTTCCGACGGTGGTTCCAAAGATCCCTTCTTTGCCCACCCTGGCATTGAAGTCGCCAAGCACGATTTTGATATCATGACGGGGGCAGCGCTCGTACGTGCGCTCCAAGCGCTCATAGAAGAGATCCTTGGATGCCTCATCCTTCTCTTCCGTCGGGGCATGGGCGCAGATGAGCGAGATGTTGAAGAATATCGCTTTGATGCGGATTGTGGCTAGACGCTCGTCCACCGGGGTGAACGACAGTACTCGGCGACGGAGTCTCTCTCCCACCACAAATCCAACTCCGAATTTGCGCTCCTTTACATGGCAGCTGTAGTAGACGTCGCAAGGCCCCAGACATTCTTTGCCTTGCCCCGTCCAACGCATTTCTTGGATGGCGGTGATGTCAGCTTTTGTCCTTACGAGGACATCAACCAGCCGGGCAGAGGCACCTTCCCCATTAAGGGTCCGGACATTCCAGGTGCATGCCCTCAAATCGTAGTCCTTTAAACATTTGCCGTGGTCGTCATCATAAGGGGGGGTCTCATCCGAGGCTTTGCCTTGCTTCTTCACTGGAAGTTCTTTTTACGTGGCGGGTCCCAAGCCCAGCGCACAACCCATTGCTGGGACGGGGGTGGTTTCGCAACCAAATACACGTTTATATAGCGAGCCGCTTGCTCCAAGCAGACACCCGCTTGCAGCCGCACCTACTGGTGAACAGGCGCTGCAGACTTCAGTGAGCCCTTAAACCGAATAAGTCAGAGTGGCCCCACCGAAGCTCCCTCTCTTTCTGCCGTGACCCAAGGCTCCACTCGGATTGGTTACCGCATCTCGCACATGGGTTGCTCACGTTGCCCAGAGTGCGCGAACGAGGACGCAAGAGTCGGGATTGAGTATAGCCATGCAACTGTAACTGCATACCCAGCGCAATGACTATACCCCATTGCACTCCACTCCACTGTTAGTTAATATTGTTTTAAAGCTCAAATCCAATTTGTTTGTAATTTTAAAAAATCTGCTTACTTTATAAACACTTTCAAAATAATAATCATTAAGATTTTTGGATGTAGTGAGTGTGAGTAACAACAACACAAAAATACACGCCGGGTATTTGCTAGTCTACGAATACTTTGAATGCATACGTTCGTCGCGTTTTTGCAGATTTCACCAGAATCGGAAATGTGTATGCTGTTACAACAACAAAAACATCATTGGGTACTGAATTTTACTTACTTTTCAAAACTTTCGTAAAGTAAAAATAGTCAATTTTGTATATATTTTTTAAATTAAATTATAACTTTCGACATTTTTATTTGTTAACTTAAACATTTAGCAGTAGTTTGGTTTTATCAGCTTATCAATGTCTTCAACGTACTTGTACATACATACATACTTAAGAAGTAATGACACAGGTTGCATGATTGTGAAATTTAATAATCAACTTTTGTATCTACATATATGTATATACGAAATGTTGCTGGCGTATGAAAAACGAAACATATTTACTTTAAATTACATAATTGTTTTTTTATTTAAAGTTAAGTTCATTTATATTTTTATTTTTTATTTTTGTTTTACAGAACATATGAAAATTAGATTTGTTTCGCTTATTTCAGCAACACATACATATGTACATACGCATTTTGCATTCTTTATTTTATTTATTAAATATGTACGATTACAACAATACGCTACTTAAACGCTACACTTTACATTACATTTTTATGCGTAGAAAAAAAAATTAAAAGAAAAAAATATATAAAAAATCAACAAAAACCATTTTTACTTTCAGCGGCTTTTTCTTTATGGAAACTTAAACGTTCATAAGCTGAGGATTTACGAAATTCATTTAGGATAACATTACACACAAAAATAAAAGTAAACGCTAACTTTTCTACATCATACTGTACAATGTGGATCGTGGGCTAGTGCGTGGGCAGCAGAAAGTTTGTAGTACTTAGTTTAAATCGTTTCAGTTATCTTTTGATGTTTTTTAATGAACTTGTAGTGTTTGAATCAAGTTACTTTATTTATTAAATAGTTTAATTC